TACAACCCAAAAAATTCTTTCTAATAATCCCGGTGAGATGCAATTTTTTTCTTTATTTATCTTACAGAAAACTCTTTGTTTTCAGACGAGTACTATTGCTTAATGATTAAGGCAACCAATTCTGAAGCCAACTGCCTGGATTTCATTCATGGCTCCCCTGCTTAGTAGATATGAGATAGTGGGCAAATCCTTTAACTAATTTGTTTTTCAGTATATTCATCGGAAAATGATGGATATTAATAGTATAGAAGTCATTGGATTGTCACAAAGATTAAATTAATTAATACAAGTAAAATACTTAGAAAAACACACTGCACATTAGCTAGTAATTTATAATAATTAAATGTTTTAATATTATTGTTGCATAAAATTCATAAAACTTTTATTATATCAGTTGCATTATCAACCACCACATTTCTCCTGTGCCCCACAGTACCCACCTACATGCATACATATACCTGCAAATACAATTATAAATTTATCAAAACAGATATTATCGTTCTTATTTTTATATCAATACATAATACTTAAAATGATGACATGCTTGTATACATCATAGATGATCAGTATATTTGAAGAATTACCTTGCACACACAGTGTCTCTTTAGAGAATCTTATAGGCATAAAAACGTTTTTAAATTTACTCCAAATTTACTCCAAAAACTTGATCATTCATTCAACAAACATCTAAACAGCACTCAATTTGTGCCAGAATTTCTTTTTAGGACCTGAGAATACATTATGTGGTAAACACAGTATGTCGAATAATGGACCCCAAAGATATCCATGTCCTAATCTCTGGAAGGTGTAAGTATGTTACTTTATATGCCAAAAGGGAATTTGCAGATATGATTAAGGATTTTAAGATGAGGAAAATGTCCTGGATTATCTAGATGGGCCCAATGTGATTATAACAGTCTTCATAAGAGAGAGGAAGGAGGGTCAAAGTCAGAAGACGTGATGTAACGATAGAAGTAGAGTTTGGTGTAATGTGCTTTGTAGAAGGAAGAAGGGGTCACAAGTTAAAGAATGTAGTCAGCCTCTACAAGCTAGAAAATGCAAGGAAACAGATTCTTCCTTAGAAATAGATTCTTCCTCCAGAAGGAATACAGACTTCTGATATCTTGATGTTAGCCCTGTAAGACTCATTTTGGACTTCTAGAACTATAAGATCATCAATTTTTGTGTTTTCTTTGTGTTTTTTTTGTTAAGGAAGATTCACCCTGAGCTAACCTCTGTGCCAATCTTCCTCTATTTTGTATGTGGGACGCCACCACAACATGGCTGGCGAGTGGTGTAGGTCCACATCTGGGATCTGAATCTGGGCTGTCAAAGCAAAATGCATGAAACTTAACCACTAGGCAACAGGGCTGGCCCCCAATTTTTGTGTTGTAAGTCACTAAGTTGTAGTAACTTATTACAGCAGCAACAAGAAACTAATAAGTATGTTACAATAGTGCCACCATTTAATTATATTGCCACATGTGCATGCTCTTTTTTAATCTCCTCCCACATCATTCTTGGGTTTGATCATGAAAATTACTTTGGTCAATGATACATTAACAAACATGACAGAACCAGAAGTTTGCATAAAATATTTTAAGGCTGCAGGAAAACATTCTGTTACCCTGTGAAAAATCCAAGGCTAGCCTCTTTGAGGATAGGAGAATACAAATGCACAGACGCCTCAGCCATCCCTGATGTCCCAGCCATGCTGGCCATAACAGACATGTCCCAAATTCAGGAAAGAGCCCAGAAACTCCAAAAGCTTTGAGATGGGAGCTTGTTCAATTTGACTATTTGGATGAAACTGAGTGACAAAGGACAAGTAGCAGGGAATGAGGTCAGAGAGATAGCAGGGCCATGGAAACCAACACATGTACATGGATTATGCTCTGAAAGATAAGGGAAGCCACTTATATTTTTAAATAATTACCCTTGCTGCTAAACAGAGAATAGACTGCAGTTGGGCAAGGATATAAGCGGGATGTGCAATTAGAAGGCTAGTGTAACGATTCAGGTGACATGTGATGGTAATTTGAATCATGATGAAAACAGTAAAAGTAGTGCAAATGTGTGAGGCTCAGGGGTATTTTGAAAGTTGAGATGACAAGATTTGCTAATGGATTGAACTTGAGTTAAAGACAATAGGATTTGTCTTATTTGCTGATGTGGGTTAAAGTAGGGCAACAGCAGATGAGTGGTTTGGGGACTGGATAAATTAATCTTAGTTTTGAATGTGTGATGTTGGAGAAGCTCCTCCGACATCAAAGGGGAGTTGTTGAGTAGGCAGCTGCCGTGATTCAATAAACAAAGCCAGAGTTCCAGGAAGAGAAAGATCTGGGTTGGAAATAAAAGCCTGGGAGCCACCAGCATTTCTGCAGCATTTAAAACAGGGGGCAAGAAAGCTATTCCAGGGAGAGAGTGTAGAATGGGGAGAGGAAAACCCTACTCTGAGTCCTGGAGCTTTCCAAAGCTGAGAACACGGAAGAAGAGAAGGCACCAGTACTTGCGGAAGAGGCTGTAACCAAATTTTATCTACCCCTGTGTTCTCTGTGATTTCCACACAAAAACCTCATTCAATTTCCGATTTTACACATGGGAATAACCAAAGTTTGGGGGAAGTTAAACAACTAGCCTAATATAAATGAGGTAAATAGGATGAATTCTCCTTATTTATTAAATTCCCAAGCCTCAAGTTGTAAGCACAGATCCAATTATCTGTAAAAAATTGAGCCACATAGCCATTGGTTTCTGTTCTTCTTGTATAGAATTATTCACTGCAAATTACTAAAATTTTACTTGTCATACACAATGTTATTTGAGATTAGAAATCCCTAGTTGCCCCCTGTTTTACTAACCGCAAAACTGCTCACATCTGGGATATGATCCATTATTACTTATTCACTACTATGTAGGATAGTTTATCCAGAGCATAAAAAGAAGTGACTAAGGCATTTGGAAGAGAACAGTCGCATTACAACAATTCAGCCTGGTTATGACTGCATCAGTTGTCCCCTGTCAATTGTAGCCTCGCAATTGTTGAGCATTATCTTACACTTTAAACAGACTTTATCTTTGGAGGGACCGGAGAACATTTCATTAAAATTATCATAAAACCGACAACCAACATCAGCTATAAATAATTTCGCTGTGTAAGCCAATAGGATATAAACATTTCCTACTCTAATATACAGAGGTAAATAAGATGCACGAGGGAGTCTTATTGAATCTAGAAGCTCAATTTTACTCTCGGTCTCTTTTCCCATTTCAGCTATTGAGATAGAGATAGAGAGAAAGAACACAAAGAGTTGCTTCTAAAGCAGCTTTTAGAGCCTTTGGCTTACCTTAATTTAAACTCCATAGCAATTAGCATTTACAATGAAGAGAGTGCTTATATTGACAAAAAAAAAATTTTCACGACACTTAAAAGTAATCAATGTACCAACATTATTTAAAATCAGAGACAAAAAATGGGTCATTGTTAGGCTACTCATAAGGCTGATGTCCAGGACCTCTATCTGTTAGAGATTGTGATCTAAAATAAAACAGTATGCATATAACTATATTTGCATATATATAAAATACATAACGGCATATATATGGGGAGTTGTCTCAAATTTTTTTTTCCCAATAAGAACGAAACATTGAAAAAAGTCTGGATACCACTTTTGAAAAACAAAAGCTGAACTCCTGGGCAAGACACAGAATGCTCTTCACCACTAGGCCCTACGCTGTGTTCAAGGACATCCTCAGAACACAATTTCCTTTCCTCCTACAGGCATACAGCCTGTAGCCCAGGGCTGCAACTCAAGTCCAGGGCTGTCAAACTTGAGGCAGAGACAGAGAAGGAGTTGAGAATTTACTTATGAAGGAGATCCCCATGCCCTTAGTCTCAGAAATTCTAATCATTGTTTCTGGGTTGTGTTCTAAGAATCTGCCTTTTTAACAAGTGCATTTTGAAAATCACAGGTCTAACCATGCGTATTGGTCATTACTCTTCACTTCTGAACCCTTACTTATTCCATTCCCATTGCTAAGAATATTCTTTATTCTTTTGGACAACTAACTCCCAGTGATAGCTGAAGTCCAAAATCTACATCCTTTTTCTCTATAATGATTTTTCTCTATTTGTATTCCACTAGCATTTTGCATGTATCTCCATTTTATTTCTTATCAACTTCAGGCTTAAAGCATAGATCACAAACTAGAAGCATCATCACCTGGGAGCTTGTTAGAAATGAAGAATCTCAGGCTCCTCCCCAAATTGACTCAATCAGAATCTATTTTTTAACAAGGTCCCAAGTTGATCTGTATGCACATTAAGGTTTGAGAAGTACATCTTTACACATTTCACAGTAGCTATTTCTTTTTAAGGTTCTCTCTCTCTCTCTCTACTGATAAAGCAAGAATTTCTCCTAGACAGAGATGGAGTCTTAGAGGACATTATTTCCTCAGCTTTCAGCACAAAAACAAATATGTAGTAAATAATCACTATGAATGTGTTAAATTGGAAATGTATTTGTAAAAGAATTCTTGATGCTAAGAAGGAAGCAGAAGAGAAATGTAAACATATAAGAAAAGAAAGAATAAAGATTAATACAAAACAGGAATAAAGAGGTGTGTGAAAAAATGTGATAGAAACAGAGAAATCTGTTATAAGATACTTTATTTCCAGATGAAATCAACTTCGAAGATTTATTTCCTTTTGTAGCATAGCAACCTCGTACAAGCAATACTTAATGCAGCTGGGCTAACTTAAAATTTAGTATTTTGTTTTACCCCAAGTTTCAATGTCAAAAAGGTGTTCTACTAAGTTATGAATAGCACAAACCATTACCATAGAAACATTAGTATATCTGTTTACAATAGTGATTTTAAAATGAGTTTGTACAAGTTTCTTAAAAATCCCCAATGTGGAGTCAACTGCCTTGAAAATTCTGACTCAGGGATCCTGGGGTGAGGCTAGAAATTTGCATCATTATCCTGCTCCCCAGAAGACTGTGATTAAAATTATCATGAGAGACCACTTGACTGAATATGCAGTTATTCTTTGTTATGGGTGGAATTGTCTTCCCCCAAAAAGATATCTTAAAGTCATGACCCCCAGTGCCTTATTTGGAAATAAGGTAGTCATAGATGTATCATTAAAATGAGGTAATAGTGGAGTAAGGTGGGCCCTTAATCCAATATAACTGGTCCTTATAAGAAGAGGAAAGAGAGAGACCTAGGGACAGCGCCAGGGGAAGACGGAGGCAGAGATTGGAATGACTGTCAACAAGCCAAGAAACAGCAAGGATTGCTGGTTGTCCCCAGGAGCCAAGAGAGAGGCATGGAACAGGTTCTCCCTCAGAGCCCCCAAAGGGAACCAACTCTGCCAACACTTTGACTTCAAGCTTCCAGAACTGCGAGAAAATAATTTCTGTTGTTTTAAGCCAAACTGTTTGTAGAATTTTTTTACACCAGCCCTAGGAAACATACATTCATGTTTGTCTTGAATCACCTGGAGTATCACTCTTGTCTTGCTGTCACAGAGAACAGCAATTCTCAAACTTGAGTGTATGTACCTGATCTTGTTTGCTTATTTAAGATTCCTGAACTCCACTCTCTATGGACAGAATCTGTAAGAGTGGGCATCTGCTCCCTTCTGATACAGCTGTGCTGCTGATTAGTCTTTAAGGTTTGAGTTCACTGAACCCAAATATATTTCACTGAAGGTTAGTGGATGTTTCAAACCATAGCATACCGTTAGATTGCACCTCTCTGTTTAAATCCCATAGAAGTAAATGAAATAAGGCTTTGTATTTGATCTTCCTAATTTCAAAGTCTGTGCACTTTCTTTACTATGTCAGAGCTTGACTTTGAAGGCTATCTTTGCAGAGGGGGTGGATATTGGTTTCTCAGTTTTGTAAACAGAGGATCTGAATTATACAGAAACTTTTCCTGTGGAGAGAATTTATTTTTGTTGTTGAAGTTTTGGAAACTGCCTGCAGATGACAATAAGCAAAAGAGAGTAGCCGAGGTAAAGGGCATCTTTTGTGAAGCCTTGGTGTGTTTGGGGGCATGTGTGGTGGGGGGGCAGGGGAGAGGGTCCTTCTCCTCTCCGATGCACAGAACCTAGCACCACTGTGACAATCTGTAGGGTGTCGTAGCATTTGAAAATGTCCAGAGGTGGCATCGTTGTCATGACACTGGCAATCTCATCAAGGACACTAAAAAAAAATTAGCAACAAAGAGATTTCTTTAATCAACTTTCAAAGAAATAAACATCAGCCCAATTTCTCATCATTAAGATCTAAGCTCAAAGGTCACTTCATCAGAAAGGCCTTACTTCATTGCTCTTGCTGAAATAGCAACCATTGCCCCAGTTACTCCAGCAAAGTATTCTCATTAAATTTCTTCCTAACTCTTACCTCTCTCTGAAATGATAATGTGTGTTCATTTGCTTGTGTAGTATTGGTTTCTCCTACATGGATAGAAGTTCTTTGAGAACAGGAACCTTGACTGTACTGATCACAACTGTATCTTCAGTCTGGAGAGACACCTGGAATGTTCAAGGGCTCAGACGTATTGGTGGAATAATTGAATAAATAATCCAGGGAGCTGGATCAAGAGAGTATCAATATGGCCATGGTGTGCAGTAAATCAGTGGATAGAACAGTTTGGGAATTTTTGCAGGACACTCCTTTTGAATCAACCAGAAATCACTAGGGGTGTTTGGGGTTCACAGTGTTTCATGTTTTGGTAATCACACTGTAAAAGTTTCAAGTACACAATTTTGGATAAGAATGTATGTGACAAAATTAAGTACTTATCTATATAAATCTATATTATTTGGATCTCTGTGTCATATACACACACATTTTAAAAACACTGAAAGCTAAGACTACATAATAAGAAATATTAATACCAAAAGTAATTGGTACCACAAAGTGGAAAGCACTTTTTCCTATTCTCAATTTACTAGAATTAGCACAAATTTATTTTAAGATTAGAAAAATAAACATTTAAGAAAGTTTAGTGTTCATCCTATTATGCATTGATATAGATAAATAGTCACTGATTCCATGAGCTCCTGTTTGGAAATTGAAATAAGCAAATGTCTGATATATGCAATTGTTCAGTGCTATCACAGAGGAAATAGAAAATGTTGTAGGTGGCTGGCCCCGTGGCTGAGCGGTTAAGTGCTCGTGCTCCGCTGCTGGCGGCCGGGGTTCGGATCTGGGGTGCGCACCGACGCACTGCTTCTCCGGCCATGCTGAGGCCGTGTCTCACATAAACAACTAGAAGGATGTGCAACTATGACATACAACTATCTACTGGGGCTTTGGGGAAACAAAAGGAGGAGGATAGGCAATAGATGTTAGCTCAGAGCCGGTCTTCCTCAGGAAAAGGAGGAGAATTAGCATGGATGTTAGCTCAGGGCTGACCTTCCTGCCAAAAAAAAAAAAAAAAGAAAAAGAAAAAAGAAAATTAGGGAGTGCATAGGCGCGTAACTAAACCACATACAGAAGGAATTAGGAAACAAAAAAACCTTCCAAGAAGTGGTGGTCTTTAGGCTGAGACACAAGATAAGTGAAAACTATGTAAGTGAAGGTGGTGTGAGTGGGAGTTTGAGTGTGTGTGTGTGTGTGTGTGTGCATTTGCATGTGGGACTTTTGAGGTTACATCAGGGGCAGGGATGAGGCAAAGCTAGAGCTAATCATAGGAGATGTTCCATCTCATTAGGGCTCAGAAAAAGTGAAGATTAAGATAAAAGTATTTTTTCATCCATTTAGTTGGCAAAGATTAAAAAGTTTGACAATCTCAAGTGCGAGTCCAGTGTGTTGCTTATATATTGCTGGAAGGGAGGTAAATTAGTACTACCATTTCAGAAAACTGGGATGACTTTGTAATTTAACATACTCATACACTATAACCAAGTAACTCGAATTTTAGGTACATGCTTCTCACCAAAAGTACTATTGTATATGTTCACTGATAAATACAGTTATTTTCATAGCAGCACTGTTCGTATAGAAAAATGATGAGAGAGTGCCATGAAAAGAAGATTATTATTCATTTAATTCTGCATAACTGAGGTCCAGCGAAAGGCGAAAAAATATGCAAGCACTTGTCATCATGGTAAGTAGACTGTATTAGCTGTGTCGATAATCTTGGCTGAAATAGAAGCAATGGGAATGGAGACAAGGAGAAGGATGAGAGACATAGTTACCAGGTACCAGTGATGGGATCTGTTGACTGGTTGTGGGGATTGAGACCGGGAGGAGTATGAATTACTTAAGGGGCCAACTGGATTCATGATAATGCCAATTACTGAGAGATTAACTATAGGAGAGGAAGCCAATTTAGGATATGGGAAGAGGAGAGAGATTGATTTCAAATTGAATAGGAAAGTATTAACCTAAACATTAGCTATTCTTATGTATCCCACAGCCATTTGCAAAGGACTGGATGTTCAATAGTTTCTTTGGACGTTTAATAGATTCTTATATTGAAAAAAAAATAGCATACTGGAATATTATCTTGGGTTTCTGCTTAAAACTGAGACATAGATAATCACCATGGTATCCTTTGCTCCATGACTCAATATTTTTTTTAAAACATAAAAATAGATTGTCTATCCCTTCATTTACAAATAAGAGGATGTTGTTTCCTGTTGTTTGTGTCCTTGTATATTCACAGATCACGTTTTAAAGCTCTCTTATTATTCCTGACACTTCAAAAGAGAATTTTATCCCAAGTTGGCACTTTTTAATCTGCATGTGGGATGGTTTGTTTTTCTCTTGTTGATCCTTGAAGACTTTCATTTGTCTCTCCCATATGGCAAAAATGGGTGCATATTTTGTGAGCATCTGCAAGGCAATATTTAATACCCTCACATTCCTAAGAAATTATGTTCAAGCTGAAACGTTTTCACAACCAATGTCGTTAAAATGTGCAATGTCACATTGCCTGTGCAGAATAAGAATCAATTGTCAGTTTTACTGAATATTGGGAATGATATCTGATGCTCTGTAATTTACTTTGGACAAAACTGCATATTAATTTATTTGACCACATTGTGGTTTTTTGTTTACTATTTTTTTTCTATTTGATCCAAATGTTCATTGGAAAAAAGCAGTAGAATTAGGATGGAGGTAAGATGCAAGAGGGATATGATATTGCAGATGGCAGCACAAACTTCAGGTTTATGTCACCTGTTCATGCTACACGAGACTCTAAATTTTGGGGGGACGCACTTAGAAACTTTTTAACCTTGAAAAAAACTCAATGCCCTGATGCTTCTTTTGTATAAAATATTTTTTAATACTTCTTCTAGAGTTATCTTCAGAGTCAGATTACAGACCACATAAGGCAATAAGTACCACTGCTTCAAATTTTCAAACCAAAATTGTATTGCCAGTTGTCAAACTCGTTATTCAGTCACTTTGCCTCTGCAAAAAAAAAAAAAAAAACTTCAGATGCTTCCAAAATCTAAATCCAGCGTTAAAGGGCAAATGTGTTTTCACCGTTGAGAGGATATGAATAGATGTGCCGCGG